GACTATGGCGTAGGCTTCCTTTTTTCAATTGCGGGGTGTCGTCGTTCAGCCTGTGAGAGGGTCCTTGAAAAGAAGGCTACAGGAGGATCAGCTTGTTTCAAAGAAGCAGCAATAGCACAGTCTGACGCATCCGTTTCAACAGCCAAAGGAATATTTTGGTCTATTGTTGTAATTGCAGATTTCGCAATATCCTTTTTCAGTCCCTCGAATGCCTCAACGGCTTGATGGGACAGAGGAAACGTCTCTACTTGTGTCAATGGATGTATCTTTTCTGAGAACGAAGCAATCCATTGAGAGTAATGAGCAAACATGCCCATAGCACGTCGAAGGGAAGGCTGGTTATGAGGGACAGGCATCTGGAGTAAAGGTTTCAATCGATCTGCGTCCGGTGCCATAAAACCTTTGCTTATGGTATACCCCAGTAGGTTTATTTTGTCCAGTCCAAACGAGCATTTGTCGTCGTTTAGGGTAAGGTTGTATTTATCGACGGCGGACATGAACCGTCTGAGATTTTCGTCGTGTTCCTTTCTATTATGGCCACATACTGTGACGTTGTCGATGTACGCAAATGTGCCTTCCAGTTTCTCATCCGTTATGATTTGGTCGACTATCCTTTGGAAGCTGGCTACCCCATTCGTAACGCCAAAAGGAATCCTGCGAAATTGATATAGTCGACCGTTCGCCTCGAAAGCAGTGTATGGCTTGTCTCTAGGTCTAATGGCGATCTGATGGTACGCGCTTTTCAAGTCCAGAGTGCTAAACATACGATATTTTGGCTATTTCGCCTATCATTTCATTTATCCTGGGTAGTGGGAAGGCGTCCAAAAGAGTAAATCTATTTATGGTTTGGGGAGTAATCTATAACCATTCTCTTTTTATGGTTGCTAGAAGTGGTTATAACTACCTGAGCCCTCCAGGGTGATTTGCTAGGCTCAATTATACCCTCCTCAAGTAGTCTTTTTTTCTCAGAGTCAATGAATTTTTTATTATTATAAGAAAAACGTCTGCTTCTCACTGCTATGGGTTTGCAGTTTTCAGTTAGGTTTTCGAAAAGTGACGGGTACTGGATTTTTTGCTGTCGCCAATCCACAAATTTTCAATGCGGGCATTGAACCGCCAAACGGAATTTCAACCTGTGAGTGTTGCTGCAAAAAAGTGTCCCAGTATTATTTCGCAACAAAGGTTTTTCATTACGGATAATTTAGTGGTTTTATAGGAGACGTCATTAAATAGTAAGTCCACCAAACAATAACCACTTACTTGCGCAGACAATGACGCGTTTGCCATTGTTACTCTGCTGGGGGAGGGGACAAAATACAATTTGTTGGTTTTTACCAAGCTTTCTTTGATAAAATTTCCTGAGCTCCCGGTATCGAGCAGGGCATTTGTAGACCTCCCGTTAATTTTCACTTTTACAATAGTTTTTGAAAGGCAGTCGGGGAGGCGGCTAAAGTTGCAGAAGTATTTTGACGAGTGGATTTGTATAGAGTTTTTAGAAGACTTGCATACCTTTGAAAAATGACCAAGTTTTCCCACATTTATGACAACGAGTATCTCTGGCATGAGACTCGTAGGTGTTTAGATAAGCCGCAAAAAATAGCAAGTGTCCTTTTTTTAAGCGGCAGTGACCGATTGTTCTTGAAGCTTCGTCGGACTATCGTCATGAGGGGGGGCAGTAAGAACAGGTGGGTTTAACGCGGCGCCCACGGTGTCTGGCTGTAAATAAGAACTAGACTGCTGTATAGCACTTTCGAAGATATAGGCTTGCTCGTAAGCTGTTCTAAGTGTAAGAGTCTTATTCTCAAGAAGACGTTGTCTTATCTGAGTATTGCGTAAGCCGTTAATGAAGGCGTCCAAAATGTGTATCTCTTGGGCCTCTAATGCCGTCATTGGGCAGAAGTTGCAATCTTTGCTCAGTGTCCGAAGGCTCTTAAGGAAATGGTCCAATGTCTCGCCTGATTCTTGTCGGCGAGTCGCAAGTAGGTGTCTAGAAAATATCTCATTTTGGGGGATGTATGTAGCGTTCAGTACATCGATTGCTTCTTCGTAGGTAACGCAATCCGAGATAATTTCGTTGACTGTGTGAGACAGGTAGTTGGTTAGGAGCGCACGCTTATTGATGGGACGTCCCGGTCTTTCTGAATGTAGAACCTCGATGAAATTTGTAAATGTCTCCCGCCAATGTTTCCAGCACTTGTCGGCTGAATCGCTTTCTGGATCTGTGGTAAGTCGCTCAGGTCGCATAAATTGTTCCATTCTTAATTGAATAAAATGTAATGAAAACAGGACAAGAGATTCTGTCTAGTAATCGTTTATTCAATTAAGAATACTACTACCATCGATATTGAGTCCCCCCACGAGAGTGTCATGTGGCAGGGCCTTTTAACGTGGGCATTCCCGAGCCATTAGGCTCGGCAAAAATAGCCTTTTAACCCGTATTCCCAGGGCGTTCGGCGTTTATTCGAAGGAGACTCCGTCCTTCGGCGTAGCCTCCTTTTAGAACCTACTCATCGATATTGAAACGAGGGCCCAGGGCCACAAGGCCTTTTAAACGTGGGCATTCCATCTTCCATTAGGCCCGAATAGCCCATTTGACTCCGGGCCCAGGCCATTTAACGCAACTGAAGGAGAGGTCAAATATTCAGGTTCCTCCCGGGTTCCCCTGCCCGGAAGAGAGTTCAAACCGAGCAACGTAATTGCAACTTCTTTACAAATTATGCAAGTCAAAGTTAAAAGTTGAAGTCACGAGAAAATCTACCTGTAACGGACAGATTGAGAGAAAATGGACCTGAGTTTGAACCTAAATGCGAATTTATCTTTGATTTCCGAGCCTACCCAGTCTGCGAGCTGCCAAAGATTGATTGTCTGAACAAAAACAACTAAAAAATAAGACAAACCATCTTCCACAATAGAGAAATGTAACATCAAGCTAGGTAACTCTTCATCATTCAATTAGTAAGTTCTCTTGCACTTGTCAATTACAGTAGCCCCCCCCCCCTATTCGTTTCTAGATCCATTTAACGCAGTGGTTTCTCATAGGTGCGACGGAAGCGGATAGCAGGTGAGACAGAATGATTGAAAGACAATCAAAGCTTTAGATAGTTTTAAAAAAATTGTATATATATATATATATATATATAATTTTAAAATATCATTATGATTTTTTGTAATTGCATGCATGAGTCCCAGTATAAATACTTATAAATAATTGACAGACTTTATCATTGTGATATTTTTGCATTATATCAAGTATTAAGAATATAGTAACTAGGATCTGCAAATTAAAGTAGAGAGTTATTAATGTTCTGACTTCGAATCTGCGGTTATCTCCCTTTAACTCGCTGATATTTTATTTATAAATGTACTTATTATTTTGACATTCCAATCTATATAATTTCTATCTGAAATATACCAGAATATTTTACTTACTTGAAATAAAAAATTTAATCATTTAGCTGTCAATTAAAACTAGAATGAAATTTCAAGAATGCTTTTTCTTTTTTTAAATTTAATTTTAAAACTTTGGTATCGAAAATTCAGTGGAAGTACCTAATAGCTCGATTGTTAAAAAGTTTCTTAAAAGCGGCCATTTTCTTAATTTTTAAGAAATTTGTAAACACAAAGTATAGATTTGTGACATGTTATTTGAGTAAAATTAAAAAATTTAAAGTTAAATTAATCTGATTTGAAATAAATATTACTTTCTTATAGCATAAAAACTCCAGTATGCAAGCATTTCTTAACAATGAGTTCCTCTTTGATCTTTATTTACTCATGGAGAAGAACTTAAGGTGATGACAGCTCTTATGGATGACCAGAAATTACATATTTACGTAAACTAAGTGAACGCATTTTTTTTCTTAGTTTTTAACCACCTAGTAATTTTTACAAATTAACATATTTTTAGCAATTATTTAATATTTTATTGAATTTTAGTTAAGTTTTTAAGAAGCTTTATGAAATTTGCATTTCGTTTCTAAGTTCTTAAGTTTACTTACTACCTTAAACGAAAAATTAATTAATTGAAGTATGATACAAACTAAAATAAAATAAAAATATTTAGTAAAATAACAGTTAAGAAAAGTAAAACTTTTTTTTTGATATTTTGAAAGGGATGATTTGCAAAAACGTCAATGATAAATCAGAACTGAATTAAAAGGTAAATAATTGCAGTGGGTCAGACGGCACTTAAAATATAAAAAAATGAATATTAAAATCATTCGTGAAAGATTTACGGTGTGCATTTTCCTCTTTTCGATATTTCGTGGGTACTTTATAATTTTCAGATGTCCGTGAAATTTTTTTAGTTATATAAAGAAAAACCCCTGATTAAAAAGAAAAAAAAATTGCTAGGTAGTTAAAAAATGCTTTCACTGAGTTTTCGTAAATATGTCATTTCTGGTCATCCATAAGAGCTGTCATCACAAGTTCTTCTCCATGAGTCCCGAATTTTACCAAAATGAATTCAATAAAACTTAATAAATAATTTTTTGAGAGTTGGCGCTTGCATAATCTAATAAAAAAATGTTATTTTCTTTAAGAATGGACAGGAAAAAAATCTAATTTTTAATTACTTGTATAAATTACTTGCGATTTTGATATTTCATCCGTTAGTGTTACAATTCTATGGGACTACACAATACACACTGACAGAACAATCAAGGCCAACCGGCCAGATATTGTTATTAAAGACCACAGACAAAAAACGATGCCTCCTTATTGATACGCAGTCCCTTGACTGCAATGTATCTCTGAAGATATTGAAAAATGTTGTCAAGTGGCCCCATGTATCACAGAAAGGGGTGAACGAGGTCGTTGGAGAGGCCCAAGCAACAATTTTAGACGGATTAAAATCTGACGGTGAAACAATATGGACGACAGAACGAGGAATAATACAGGTTTATTCTAAAAGGAAAAGGAAATAAGATGGTCGATGCCCAACTAGGTGGAGGTGCTGGATGCTGCAATGCTGCGGTTTCATTCTAAATATCGATGGATACTGCAGGAGTGAAAATGCTGCAGGAGTGCTGGATGCTGCAAGTGAGCCCATCCCGAAGCTGGGAATGCTGGAAGAAAGCCGGATGCTGCAGGGGTAGCTGGAAAAAAGCTGCAGGAGAGCTGGATGCCAGGAGAGCCCGCAGGCGTTAATAGACGAGGGTAGGATCATCGTTGTTGCGGCTTGAAGATGGAACATGGGTTGTTGCCAGGACGCTTGGTACAATTGATGTTGGTTGGGGATGATCGTTGTTGGTTGAAGCTGAGTCAATACCAACGAAAGTTGCTGCAGTTCATCGAAAGACGACAACCGTTGTTTGTCATTGCCATCCGATGACAACTTGACGTGTTGGGAAGGAGAGAGAGAGAAGAGAAACCACTTCCCAACTATCGTCAAGTTGGCAGACAAAAAAAAATGGAGCCAACCGTTGCGGCCGACAAATTAAATCTCCCAGATTCTAGGGGAGAAATTGTTTGTCCAGACGCGGGGACCAGCAAGACAAAAAACGAAAAGTCTCTATAGTAAAATACTTTACAAGGTTAGCCAAAGATAACATGGTCCCTGACTAGAAGTATATTACAACTAGGTTTGTATCCTAACTAAAAGATTTGCTAGTCCCTCTGACGTGTTAACAGTTGTCATGAATGAGAGGTCAAGGTCGAAATGACCCTGTTCCTCTGCAGGTTCAAGACAGAAGGAGGAGGTCTCAAAAATAGAAATCTCAAAATGTGGGAATATGGGAACATCAACAATCCCTGTTGTAGTTGGAGCCCTAGGACTGGTTGGAAAAGATTGCAGTAGACTAATTGAAGGGATTCCTGGAAGTCCATGCCTCAAGGAGATACAAAAATTGTTCTGACAAGTACAGCCCACACTACGAAGGGCTTTATCTATGTAATTTAATTTTTTTTTTTTTTTTTTTTTTTTTTTTTGTCAGTGGAAAGTGTCATGATGCCATTTCTAACCTTAGGTCCCTGGGCGGGACCCAGAAAGAAATGTAAACGCCAGAAATGAAAGAAAATAAAAATAATAATAATAATATATCACGTCGGGGAAGTCACCATATAATGGGTGAGCTACGAAAAAGAAATGAATGTTCTTCCCATTATAGGCATTATTATATTCATTATTTTATTTCACCTCCGATGCGTGCTGAAAGAAACATTTGTCGGCAACTTCTAACTAATCATCAGCAAACAGCAGTGATGATCAGTGAATCTTCGCTGACGATAAACGTCTTTCTTCTATTTTTTTTTCAACCACGGCTTTAACTGTGACCGAACTATTTAAAAATCTTATCTAAACCACAGATTTTTCTGTGTAGCAACTACCTAAACACTCAACCAAAGCCTATTTTAACTCTTTTGAATTCATGTAATGTTTGTAAATACAAATGAATTATTTAATAGGTCACCCATGTTATTTTTTTATTTTTATTATTGCTTGGAATTCGGAGGTTCGGATTTTAATATAAAAAAAGTGGAGGACCGAATTTACTACACAACTATAGTATATGATTAATTAATTTATTTTTACACACCTATAGCATATGATTAATTAATTTATTTTTACACACCTATAGCATATGATTAATTTATTTTTACACAACTATAGCATATGAGAAATTAATTTATTTTTACACAACTATAGCATATGATTAATTAATTCTCTTTTTCGTTTGACAGTTGAGGTGACAAGACACGTTCTTTCTTGCTCCGATAGACACGAGATGTGTAAATACTTTAGCGACACAGACTGAAGTTTGCTTTGAACTCTTCATTATTTTAACTCGTCTCTTTAAATGATTTCTGTATTAATTTTCATTAAATGCTATGTTTTATTGTTTTAAATGATTTATGGATTCATCTGGATTAAATGCTATATTTTATTCTTTTAAGTGATGTATGTATTCATTTGGACTAAATACTATATTTTATTCTTTTAAGTGACGTATGTATTCATTTTGATTAAATACTATATTTTATTCTTTTAAGTGACGTATGTATTCATTTTGATTAAATACTATATTTTATTTTAAATGATTTCTGTATTCATTTTGTATAAATACTTCCACATATTTTTATTAAATTTTTATATATAATAAATAGTTTTCACATTTATTTCTTTATAAATTTCTAAATTATAAATATTGCATAGCATTTTTTTCTAGTTAATCACATTGGTTTTTGTAAATGTAAAATTGTTTTTATAAATAAACAATCTAATAAAATCTATAAATATCAATAGATAAACAATTTATGGCATTGTCTGAGGTCTCCAGTCAGTCTCCCCACTTTCTGTAATTCAGGTGTAGTACGTACCGGCCGTACTTCAGACATAGTCTGATGGATTAAATGGTAGACTGTACACTAAAACTCGATAGACAGCAATAAAAGTATTCCAACACATTACATCAAAATATTATTTATCCATTTCTTTATTGGTATACAAAAAAAATCAAGTATTTACATTATCCAAAATAATTTTTAAAATGTTAAGTAGTCTTACTTTTTAATTCTGACTCTAAAATACCAAGAAATTCAGACTATATGAAGCGCTAAAAAGTGAGGATGGTTCACATATTTTAAGTGGTCATGCTTATAACTTTTGATTCTAAAATGCAGTGGCAAAAGAAGCCATTGTTAAGTATTAGTCTTGGTCAAAATTATTTAACTTTTAGCTATAAGATGTTATCACCCTTCTAGAAGATTTTTACATCATTACCAGGATCAATCTAAATAGGCAGATGAATCACTAAAAAATATTTGCTGACAACTATGTATTGTCTTCTTTGATGCTTAGTCCTTTCTTCTTGCTTTTCTTCATTACCTTCTGTAGGAGGCACTACACGTTCTTTTTATAGCATCAAGCTAATTAACTCAGATTATTCCAATTAAATAAAGTTTAATTTTTTAAAAATTAAATTAAGCATAATTTAAACATCAAGAGAAGCTAAAAATATTTTAACACAAAGATTACAAGCATGAAAAAATGGAAAAGTTCAGACAAGTCGAAAAATTAAGTACATTTTATTAAGCTTGAAGTGATACTCAGATATTTTTATTATCGTATTTTCTTGTGCATTAGACATGAAGTTTTGAATGAAAATTAAAGGTAAAAAAAGGTGAGGTCATATTATATAGACATACACGTTTACAGAAATTGTTACAAAATAATCATCTTATTTGAAACATCAAGAGTGCAAATTCACTCAGCAGAATAGATGATAAAACACAAAATAGGCAGGTGTTGATGACAATTGCTTACAAAAGATGTCAGCCATATTTGTTCTTCAGTGATGTATTGTAATTGGACATATTTTGCCTCAAAGACAGGAAATTTACCATAATTGATTAAAAAAAAATGAATAAAGACAATACACAAGTTCTGTCATTGGTAATTCTGATTGGGATTTTGACTTAAAAAAACGTTTAAAATTCAAACATTTTTACTCAAAAGATAAAATTTTTTCACATTTTGATTTTTATTAAAAATTTTTCTCTTCATTCCAAAGGAAAGAATATTTTCTTATATTTATTATCTGATGCTAAAAAGAAAAGAAAAACACAGTGTACATCAATTATAGTTGAAGTACTACATGAAAAGAAATTTTCAGTTCTAATTATCTTTGAAATTTTGGCTTCAATTCTTTCCCATTTGTAATTATGGAGAAGGGTTTACTCAGATATGTGATTTAAACTGAAACTCCAATTACACATGCTTTCAAATCAGCTAATTATGAGGAAAGGGTTAATCCAATATTTTTTATTATCATATTTTCTTGTGCATAAGACATGAAATTTTGAAGAAAAAATTCAAAGCAAGAAAGGTGGGTGATTATATTATTTACAAGTTCACATTTACAGAATTTTTCCTCTGCTTAAAAAAAAACGTCTTGCAAGATTGGAAATAACACTCAACACAATATATAGTAAAACACAGTGGGCAGGTGTTGATAACAATTGCTTAAAAAGGTATTTGATATGTCGGTCATATTTGTTCTTTGGGAGTCAGCATAAATGAACATCTTTTGTCTCAGAGACTGAAATTTGTTTTTAAAAAATCATTTAAAAAGGGGACTGGATGAAAATTGGTTTCTGATCAGTGGTGATAAAATGATACGAGTTTGGTTGTTGAAATACTGAATGTTAAATGCTGGTTATTTCACCATTGAGATGAAAAGGAAATTTACGAGAAGAGACACGCAATGGCCAAACATTATTCCAGCCTCTTTGTTAGTAGATTGAATAATGGAGTTCCACTTGAGGTCAAGGGTGAACTTTAGTCACCATAAACGTACAAAACATAGAGCCTCATTGTAAATGCAACCATTGAATGTGACTGGAGGAAAATCAGGTTCTGATTAGAGATGATAAAATAGTTTGGTTGTTGAAGTAATTGAAAGTTACATGCTGGTTATTTTGCCATTGAGATGAATCTTCATCTTATCGACTTGCTACACCACACCCATCCAGTGTGGCACACACAACCTTGCATAAAACAGTAAACAAATGAGTGAGAGTTTGAAAGGTACCTTATTTCCTTGTGTATAATACGAGACATTTTGAATGAAAATTAAAGGCAAAAAAGGGAGCAGTCGTATTATACACAAGAAAAAATTTTGAATGAAAATTAATGGCAAAAAAGGGAGCAGTCATATTAATTTCAAAAAGTTTTACTCTGCTTAGAAAATCAACTTATTTATAAAAATGAGATTGTGAATATACTCAGTTGGTACAATGGATAATAAAAGACAAAAATGGCAGGTGTTGATAACAACAGTTCACAAAATATGTCAGCCATATTTGTTTATCCCCTTTGTAGAAGATTTTTACATCATCTTAGGGATCAATCTTAATCAGCTGATGAAACACCAATTCTGGCAAATCATCAAGTGTTTCAAAAGAAGCAGGGTAATTTTTCCTAAATGTATTGCCTTTTTCAACAGAAAGGATAACTTCAACTTCAAATAGATTCTTGAAGAACATCACCAGCATCACATCAAAATTCCCATTCAAATTTCTGGGTTTCATCCATTTTATTTCCTGATTATCTGAAGAAAAGAGATTAGTTTTCATCATTTCAATTAAAACTGAAATAAAAAAAAAACATCCAAATATCCATTTGGAATAAGAGTCTAGACTTTATTAAATAAAAAAAAAATCAGTTAC